ATGTTTGTGGAGTATCAGTAAAAATATAAACAATATAATATCACTATATAAACAATACTCAATTAAAGATAACATATCTTTAGTGTTATTTCAACAATTAATTGCTCATTACAAAATTGATATGCAACTTACTACTATTTTACTAATATAATTAGCTTTCGACCGCGACTCGATTCGCGTGGAATTAAAAAAGAAACAAAAGTAATGGATACCTATGTGTTCTTAAAGAATATACTCTCCGTCTATACCAAATTTCATCGAAATCCGTTTAGACAAACATCCATCCATTGATCTAAACTTTCGCATTTATATTACTATGACTATGATGCAAATGTTTGTAAATAATAAATAAATAAAAACCATTTTATTGCCATACAATTGTATGGATGTTTGTTAGATTTTGTAGCCTAAACAGCTGAATGGATCTCGATGTTTGTTGGAAGTACGCATTGGCTACTTACTTTTGTTTTTTAGATTTAATACCACACAGACGGAATACTTCAATATACCTAAGTAACTACGTAATAAAATGCAACGTAAAATATCAGTACTTATAATAAACGGTAAGTACCAACAAAACAACACAATCAAGTTAACATCTGGAATATATACTTGGATGTTGTACAGTATTGCGTTCTCGGAAGCTAAACAAAGTGGTAGCAGAGTTATAGTTTCTTAGAACAATAACACCGTTTGTCGTTCAAATCATTGCAGTTCATTGACCTCTATTACCTTGCCTGATCAAAAACGTTACCTCAACTAACGTCATACCATATAACACTTTAAAAACTATGCTGTCCTCAAAAAAAACATAAGATAATTTTAAACTATATCTCGAAAGGAAAACTCTGATATTCAAGAGCCAAATAGATGAATCTTATGAATATCTTACTAATATTATAAATGCGAAAGTTTAAATGAATGGATGGATGTTTGTTAGAGTTTGTAGCCTAAACGGCTGAACGGATTTCGATGAAATTTGGTATAGATGTGGACGATAGTCTGGAAGAACACATAGGCTACTCACTTTTGTTTTTTTTTATTCCACGCGGCCGGAGTCGCGGGCGAAACCTAGTAATTTATATTTCATGTTCTAAACAAAAACAAAAATCGCCATAACTTTTTCATATTGTTACATGTATAGGTCATTTTGTGCAATAATTGAGAGCAATTAGATCAAACGCTGACTCACAAGTAGCATTTAAGTACAGTTGGTAGCTATATTACGTTAGATTTCTGTTAGGTAAGCCATAAAATCAATTGAATCTCGCGACAGACTTTCAGTGGGGTCAATTTCTGAACGCACCCGCATATATTTTTATGACCTTTTCTACTTATTTGGCCACAAAGCTACATTTGATTTTCAGCTCAAAATCAATTATACATAAGGTCACAAAAAGCTTGCTCGCTATTAATGTTTACGTTGTACCCGTCTCCCCCTTTTGGACCATTGACATGCAATTTTTCAATAAAACTCCTACTGTAATACAATGTTTCGTGTCTTGCAATTAGGCACCAATAGATAGAGGTCAATAATTTCAATACTAAACTATTTATTTATGTTGTAGGTATTTGTAAAAATAACTTATTGACTAACACAAACAATGGCCTTTATGAAAAGGTTCTAACAAAAGTAAACAATTATATTCTTTTCCTAAATTATTTTTTTAGTTAAATTAAATAAGTAATCTTACCATTAATTATGTACCGCTGTCTGTCATTTAGAAGTTCCTTCGTCAACTTTGGGCATTCCTTATTTAAGACTGAACACAATTCCTGCAACTTTCCACCACTGTGTTTACCAACAACATCAATAAAATAATTACACTTATCGGCATCCGCCGCACTGGTTATCAATTCTAAATCATTTAGACTAAATAGACCTTTCTTTACGAGCACGTCTAATAAGTTTGTATCGCACAATTCACGAAGTAAAGTCGATTTGTGCTGAGCAAGGCCGGCACATACGTCCCCCAGCGTGGCCATCGTTATACTGAGGAATTGACGGCGAGGCGCCGGGCGGTAGGCTCCGGGCGGCTATGGTTAGCTAGCGAAAGAAAAAAAATGGTTGCTTCGACTTCCATTGACGGCCTATTCAAACTGAGAACAGATGGACGAACTCGACAGTGTCGTTATGTTTATTACTTTGGTGCCCCAACGGAAATCACTGTGATTTGAAGGCTCCCCCTTCGTAATGATTGATATGAAATATTTTTACAAACTTAATTTGAAGAGGAACGTGTATATAGATTCTTTGGTTTATCGCCTTTGTATCCGACTGACTAAAAAGTAAAGTTTACCGCAAGCATGTAGAGTAGACGGAAAGAAAAAAAATCGTCAAGTTGGCACAAATTTACTTAGAAAGAAAATCTATTGTGTCGGCGACACAGTAGCTAAGTTCTATTTACTATTTAACGGTCGGGGATATCTTCTCAAACTGACTTTTTTCTTTTGTCGGTATTATTAGGAATTTCCCAAAAGTGAAACTAAGAAGGCCAAATTTGTTGTGTGATATTGTATTGGCAGTGTCAAAGAAAACATTGAACTAAAAATTTACGAAACCATGCGCGGCTAAAAAAAACGGCAAACACTGAGTTTGATACTTTATGCGTAATGGTGCATGCATACTCTACTACGCCTTCAAAATATGATAATAAAACTGTTATTTTTCTTCTCATGTAAATAGAAGTAATAGAAAGTTAGTACTAGCAGAAACACTATACAAAACACATTTTGATTGTATCATACTTTTTTGCCTTTTTCTTCTTTGAAACGTTTTTAGACGAAAATGTAGCGACATAAAATTTGACGTTTGTTGGTTGTTTGACACATGTTTGACAGCAGGCAAAGCGAATACAGAATATAAATTATAAATTTGTTATAAAATACTTCACCGTGCTTGTTTTCAAAGCTATGTTTTTGCAAAAACATTACTACAAGTTATCTTTATCGTGAATGTTTCAAAATTAGTGTATAAAGAGCAATAACGCTAACTGATAGAAGCTCAAGTTTAGAAAACAAGAGTAAAGCTGTGGTGTCAGCATGGCACCCAAAATAAGAACTGCGGTCGAAGGTAAGTTTTGTACATCATTTTAGTGGTTTATTTAAATGTTTTTAATGATATTCATACTGAGTCCGCCTATATCTATGGTTATTGTAACAGTTTGTGTGTATTTATAGATGTGGTTCTCCAATTTTGCTTAGATTTTTGCATACTTGGCTAAGCATGTAACGTTTCCATTACAGACACAGATTCTGGGTCTGATTCAGACAGTGGCTCTAGCGGAAGTCGTAGCAAGAGCCCTAGTCCTGGTAAAGAAGGCAGCAGGTCTCGGTAAATTTATTTTATTCATTTTAATAGACGTATTTATATGATACTGTATTGGGTTAATTTTTTTTTATAACAAATGTTTCCTTCAAGATGTGTATGATTTAACATGGAATGTGATATTTATAATTATTGAATGCAAAAAGTTGAATCGTGTAAATTTAACATTTAATTCGTCATTGCTAATTATTCCAAAAATTGTAATAAATTCTTCTTCCAGATCAGTATCCCGCAGTCCAGCTCGCTCTGGTAGTGAATCTCCTAAATCAAACAACTCAGCAAGGTCTAGGAAATCATCCAATGCATCCAATGTATCTCGCAGCAAATCTAATTCACCAACAGGTTCTAACAGATCTCGGTCAGGCTCGGCTCAGAGTAATAAATCTGGTTCATCAAGCCCTAAATCCCAAGCATCAGCTAGTCCTAAAAATAGAGCTTCAAAATCTCGCTCCAGAAGTGGTTCACGTAGATCCAGGTCTGCTTCAGGCAGTGGTAGGTCTAGATCTGGGAGTGCTAATTCACGTTCCCCCAGCCCAAAGTCTAGGGCACAAAGTCCAAAATCACGTTCACAGAGTCCAAAGTCAAGATCGCAAAGTCCAAAATCCAGATCACAAAGTCCTAAATCAAGATCCTCAAAGTCTAGATCCAATAGTCCAAAATCCCCACGTAAAAGTCGTTCAAGGTCTCCTAGTGGTAGTCCTAAAAGTAGGAAATCAAGGTCACGGTCAGGCAGTGCCTCATCCAGATCCAAGAGTCCAGTACAAAGGCAAGATGTGGCAGATAGCAGATCAAACTCTCCAAATCTCATGATTGACGATGATCAAGGGAAAGAAAAATCTAGGAGTAGATCAAGGTTGGTTAAAACATTTCATTAATTATTTCACTAGCTGTTTCCATGCGGCTTCATCTGCATGAAATTATGATTAATTTTATTTTATTGTTTACATTTGTCAAATTATCAAATACTAATGTCAAAATGACATGACATGACAAACCTTAGCAATCTTTCTTTATGTTGGCAGCAACTTATGGTCTCTTTCCCACATTAGGGTTTTTATCCGAAATATTTACCCCCTAAGTTAAATGGCATGAAAATATATAGCCTAAAGCATGACATAAGTGTAGGGCTTTTTACTGAAAAAGGAATTATTTAAAAATATGCTATAATTGCTGATATCTTAGGTAACAAAGTAGTGTGTGTTTACGCTTTATTATAATAGTATAGATATCTGAAACTTCATAATTAATAGTTTTTATCATGATATAAATTATATTTATAGGTCGAGATCAAAAAGCAAATCAAAATCAAAAAGTCGTTCAAGATCACGATCGAAAAGTTCCAATGCATCTGATATAGAAGACGGTAAGAAAATTCAGTGATGTTTGTCACATACTAAAGTTAATTCAAATCAGCTAATTTGTCAACAAACAGGCCTAGTCTTACAGTAGGAATGCCTTCTCATAATAGGGAATATGCATGTTTTTTTTTTTCTTTTTTTAAACGATTCTACTTATTATAAAATAACCAGAAAAAAAATTGACTCGAAAATATTCAACCATTGAGCTAAAAATAATTAAATAAAATTACGACTATTTTCGAGCGACTAAAACGCGACCGGACTTGTCATGAGACGATTGACGTCAATCGTCTATTCCATTCATAACATACGCTCAGATGTCATTTCGACGTAAAACACAACAAAGTTTCTCAAGGTCAAAAAGTCAAAAATCGATTCATTTTTATTATTCCTAGTACAAATAAGTGGCAATTAATAATTCTATTCATTAATTTTTTTATTTTAAAGTTGGTTTTGATATCCTGTTTACAGTAAAATACTTCAAGAGTAAGTAACACACTAAATTAAGTTCACTAAATCACATTATATTTAAAAAATCTTTGCAGGACTGTTTTTATAGTAATAAAGTATACTTAAAAAAAGATTGGTACAATTTGACGTCATATGCATATTGCCTATTGTATCCTGCCCGTGGTTCCTTTTACTACTTAGTACTAATTTTAGCGTTATTAGTACCGAGAGCGAGATTTCTACGGCACTATTTTTTAATATGCTCTGAAACAAGTAGGAATACTGGAGAATACCTTAACATCCCTTTCTGGGCATTGCATGTGGTTGTCCGAACGGGGTCTACTCTATGTAGGCATTATTTTAACTGATTTGTAAGGCAGTTCTGTCCAGCATATTGTGATATACCAAACACCATTAACAAAGGATAGCACTGTAATGATCCAAGTTTGTTATTTTTATTTTTCTTAGGTGGTAAAAAGAAAGGTGGACCACTATCAGATTCGGAAAGTGATGGTGGAAAAGTTTCCAAACGTAAGAAGGGATCCGATAGTGGGTCTGACACAAGTGGCAAGCCTAAGAAGAAAACAAAGAAGATTGTTGACTCAGATGAGGAGAAACCAGGAGATACAGGTAAGTTTCACTGTAACACTTCTATGTAATAGTTATTTCAGCCGTTCCCAAGTGTTTAAAACTGGTTGTTACTCGCGACTTCGTCTGCGCAAAATTAAAGAATACAGCCTATGTTACTCACTGATAATGTAGCTTTTTCATAGTGAAAGAATTTTTATAATGAGCCTAGTAGTTTTTGAATTATCCAATACATTTAAAAAATAAATATTTATCTCTTTATAATGTTACTAGCTGTTGCCCGCGATTTCATCTGCGTGAAATTAAAAAGTAATAATAAAATATAGCATATATTACTCAGATACATTACCTTTCTAACGGTAAGAGATTTTTTAAAATCGGCCAGTAATTACAAACAAATTTTTCCTCTTTATAATATTATTATAGACTAGAATAGATTAAATTCATGTTAAGGAAAATTAAATCACTAGCGTTTTGAATAGAAGAAGAATATAAGCGTGGTATGGACATATTATGCAACAAGGTAGGGATATAACCAAGAAAGGGTTATGATTGAATATATAGAAGATATATAGCTGATAGAACTGTATAGAAGAGCAGCACATACTGTGCCTACCCTCCGTAGGGGCAAGGTAATGATGACTTATTATGGAAGTATTTATTGGATAATTTCAGTGACTGCGGACGCGTTATTCGGTGATGCGTCAGATATAAGTACAGAGGATGAAGGGGAGAAGAGATCAGATAGATCCAAATCCAGGTCGAGGTCGAGGAGTCGCAGCGCCGCGAGGTCTGATGATGAAAGACGGACACCGGATGAGGCGAAGGGTAGCGGTGATGAGGTACGTAAATTAAATCTTCTTAACATCTCTATTATTTTTAATTCTTCTTTATAAATTTCTACTTGTCATCATGTTGTGTTTCGTTTATAATCTACAATGTATTAGGTTGTAATATGATGGTGATTATTAAAACTACAAAATAAAATTCGTTACGTTTTGCACTTTGATTTTACTTGCCTCTTTTTATTTGATTTTTTAATAATAACCTTAGGGCTGCCAATAACAGTGTAGGAAAACGCTTATTTTTTATAATTGTATACCAATGACACTAGGAGAACCGTGAAAAACCTGAAGAGGAGGAGGAAGTGGAGATCCCGGAGACGAGGATAGACGTTGACATGCCTAAGATCTGGACGGAGCTGGGCAAGGAGCTGCACTTTGTGAAGCTGCCCAACTTCTTGTCGGTGGAGACGCGCCCTTATGACCCTAATACTTATGAAGATGAAATTGATGAAGAGGAAACCTTGGACGAAGAAGGTCGAGCGAGGTGATGTCTTTTTAGTTTTTTTTCCTGTAAACATAATTTTTTTGAATGTTTTCCATTGGCTAAGCTCGGATTACCTATTTTTTTTCGATTGAATCAAACAAATCCATACAATCAATTGACCCAAAGATAAAAAAAATCTACCAATTACACCCAATTTTTTATTATTTAATTTATGTATAAAGTTTCTTTGCCTTGGTTCTTTCTAACATATAAAAGTTTTTTTAACATTTACTATATAAATTAGATTTTTAAATTCAGATAGTATATAAAAAATGTTAATCATACTTTTAAACAATTAAAAAAAAATGTAATTGTTTCTAGCGATATTAATTTATCACTCTGAAATAGTGGTCCCGCCAGGAATGCGCGCGAATATCCATCCTTGTAATGACATTGACAGTTGTCAGTTAGAGATGTGACGTTTATGCCAATAATCTAGTGTTGCGCCAATTCTATATGATGTTTGTAGCCTAAACGGTTTAATGGATTTCGATGAAATTTTATATATATAGAGTATAGTCTGGAAGAACACATATGCTACTCACTTTCGTTTTTTTTTTAATTCCACGGACGTAGTCGTGGGCGAAAGCTAGTATAATCAATTTTCGTGGTTCTAATGAATTCAATGATGTTTTTTCAAGGTTAAAATTAAAAGTTGAGAACACGATTCGATGGCGCACGGTGTTTGACAAGGAAGGCAATGCAATTAAAGAATCCAACGCTCGTATGGTGAAGTGGTCAGACGGCAGCATGTCCCTACATCTCGGCTCTGAGATATTCGACGTTTATAAACAACCATTACATGTAAGTTAAAAACATTCAATAACTTAGTCAAGTAAATCGACCTGACTATAAATCTATATAGATTTTGAACATCCCCTATATTCCTTATATGGACTTTTAAACTATAAATGGTGTTTTTATTTACAAAAAATATTTATAATTATTGTTATTATAAGATAGTCAACTTTAATGTTTTTATTTTAGCGTAATTAATAAGTAAACCGAAAGCTTCCTTATTTTTGTTTTAATTTAGTTTGAGAAATCTCCGCTAAGGAATTTCTTAAATAATCAAATTTGAGTGAGGTAGCAAGATAGACTATTTTTAGTTACAAGTCATAGCTACCCTTCCCTAAGTTATGAACTAGATCTTGGTCTAAACATTTGTCACTCTTAACTTAGTGATATAAAGTCCCTCATGAGACTTGGTCTCCAACCATTGTTATTGCTAAGTTGCATATCTCCAGGGTGACCACAACCACCTGTTCGTGCGCCAAGGCACGGGGCTGCAGGGCCAGGCCGTGTTCCGCACCAAGCTGTCCTTCAGGCCGCACTCCACGGAGTCCTTCACTCACAGGAAGATGACCCTGTCCCTCGCCGACCGATCCACGAAGACCTCCGCCATCAAGATACTCTCGCAAGTTGGAGCTGATCCTGACGCTGATAGGAAATACCAGTTGAAGGTAAGGTTTTTAGAGATTCCAAAAATATCTCATCATCACCAGCTCACTATACGTGCCATGAGGGTTTCAGACCCTATCCTAGGTTTGTGGTACGGACTACCGATCTTGCGGTCGAGGGTTCGAATCTCGCCATTCGACTATTGTCGTGGACCATATCCCTAGCACAAGCCTACAGCTTAGTTGGAATGGTTAAAGGAAATATTAGTAAATTAACAAAAATCTACTAATATTTTTTATATAAAAAAAGTATCCTTGGAGATCCTGGAACCTATGCCACTTGAAGATGACCTTTAGGGGTTTTAGTGGATTAAATCTTACATAACCCTGCCTACCCCCAGGGTATATAAGGAAGATTCCCCCCCCCCCATAGAAAAAAACCATAGTCACTAACATTGGACCATTTCGAGTTGATTTAACACATGTCACTATTTTTTTGCCATTATGAGCAAGTTATATTATAAAGTCTTCCTTACCGTGAGAATTTATGGTAAATTTACATATGAATTAAGAAAATAAAAAATATTTTTTTTAACAAATTCTCAAAGACAACATTTACAGAACATGTTAATGAAAAAAAAAAACTTGGCAATAGGAGGTACAGCTGGTGCGGCCAAAATCGAATTGCATTGGTATATGACGGTATTGTATTATATTTTATTTGTTTTAAATGTGTGTTATGTTTTATAAAGAAAGAGGAAATGGAGCTACGTGCTGCGATGCGGTCCCGTGCGGCGACGCGGCGCGCCCGGCGCGGCGGCGGCGCGGCGGCGGGCGGCCAGCGCGGCGCACGCGACGACTCCGAGGACGAGGGCGGAGTCTCCCTCGCTGCTATCAAGAATAAATACAAAGCGGGACAGAAAGGTAACATACACACCATCCGTGCGGAATTAAAAAATTCCGAAGTCCCTTTCCCTTTTCTTAAAAGATGGGTAGGGAAAACAATAGGAAAACCTGATATCGCAAATCTACATTCAAACTTTGAATTGTTTAAAAAGGTTAGGCAACTTATCTATGGGCAGCGGTCGATTCGCCACTTTTATCCGCTGATTCGTTTGTCTTGTATTAAAAAAAAACACTATATTTTCTTACAAACTATCCTCTACATCTATGCCAAATTTCATCGAAATCCGTTTAGCAGTTTAGGCTACAAACTCTAACAAACATCCATCTAAACTTTTGTATTTATGATATTAGTAAGATCAAAGTTAAATAAATAAACGATAAAGGTTTTACTCACTTTGATGTTTCGTTTAATAAAGTAAAGTTAATTATACTAACCTATAAAATTTTAACATTTTACCAAAAGCACATTTTGTACATCAGTACAAAATACAAGTTGGCACATATCCAACAAGAGTATTCATACTGATTACGTGCCAACAGCGACAGCAGGAGCGGCGATATACTCTTCAGAATCGGAAGGTTCTGATGTGGAGACGCGGCGCGCTCGCCGGCTCGACCGCGCTAAGGCTCTCAAGGACTCCGACTCTGAGGGCAGTGAGGGCAATGCTGCCACTCCTGCGCACACGCATAGTGCTTCTAACTCACATAGTGGCAGCGAATAACAAATACATCCTACATTTATAATGAAATGAGAAATTAGGACCGGTTATCGGCGCCCTGGGCGACAAATCCGACGCCCTGGGCGGTTGACTTCGCCCTACACTAACTACAATGTTAATAGTAAACTTAACAAAACAATTTTACCTTTATAGAGAGTTATACACTTATTAAATGTATCACATATTTTCAGCCAGTGGAAATATGTGTATCTCATATCAATTTTATTTTAAAGAGTTTTTTTTTAATTTCATGTCTAAAACTGAATGTATAGTCCGATAAGGCTGTCCGACCCGGTGGGCAAAATTCAAACTAATTTGACAGCTCACTAGCGCCCTCCTGTCAATGTCAAAATGTCAATCCTATTCGTACTCTGACGTCATTTTATGCCATTTTGTCTGCCGCATAAACGAAACATTGTAAATATCAATTCTTGTAATTGTATTACGCGGGTAAATGATGTTATTGTAATAAATTACAATGAACTATGAAATCTTTTATTTTGTAATTTAACATTAGAGGCCTGTCCCACAATTCTTGTAAATTGTCAGATAACAATCCAACGTATAAAATATGTGATAGAAGTATCAGATTTTGTTACTGTATCTGACAGTTACGTCACTTTTAAGCTCTCTGAGCCTCTATCAGCTAATGGTGGGACAGGTCCTAAAAATATTAGTCTTGTATCGTGATTGAGTTTTTATACTATTTTAGTAAAGCGCCATCTATTGTCAGCTGAATCATCACTAAAGTATTATCAAATAATTTATAAAAAAAATACATTAATTTTTTTTTATTAACCTCCAAATACATTTTAGCTCGATAGATAATTTTACCAACTCCTATAATAGTCCACCATCCTTGGTCTTGTCTAGTAATATTCGGGACAATATATTCACAAGAATCCAAATTCCTTGTCCTTTCGTAATAACGGTCACTCGATGTCTTCGGTCTTTGGATTTCGCAGGATTCTAAAAGTTTAATAGGATACGCGAATTTCAAAATCAAATCGCTCTCTTCATTTAGTTTCGTAAAATATGGTTCTATTGGTATACTTTCTGTGAACGAAACAAATTAAAATGAGAGAAAAGGAAATTACAGTCAAAAAAATTAGAACAGAAAAGATGTTTCCCGTTGTGCTAATTAAACGAAAATAAAGAATTTTTTGACCATTTAGTCAATTGATTGTATGGATTCAATCGGTCCAATGGGAAAAAAAATTCCATTGGTTCATACATACGGTCGGTCGATCGATTGGCTCAACGGGAAACACCCAAATAAAGTAACCGGCATTTTTTAGTCGTAACATAATCTATGACTGGTCATAATAACCGATCCGATTTCATAGTAAACGGTTTTATAAAATAAATTCTCACCTATAATTCTAATAGTGATGACTTGAAAAAACTCCGTAGCACCTTCATTTTCACCTTCATTATGGTCAGAAAAAACACTTAGAACCCAATTTCCATGATCCTCCTCCCCCAAAGGTCCCAACATGAAATCCATAGCACCCATCTTCTTTAAATTATCATTAAATATATCATGTGTATTGAAATATTTCGGATTATTTACATTAAATACTCGATACTTCGTCGTGTTAATAATTGTGTCATTATCTGTGAAAATCTTGTGTTTCGGCGGAAATTCAGGTAATTTGATGACGTCACCGTTCGGTTTACTTAAATAATACCGCCCTTTTTCAATAACTATTGGTGCTGATATAATTATAATATCGTTTAGCTTACAATCGATTAGAAATGAGGGTAGCTCGATTTTTGTATCACCTGAAAAATTAAAAATTGTTATTTAATCTATGACAAATATTCTATGACGCAAAATATATAGGTTATGTGTTCGTAAAATCAACTCTTTTTTAAATGATGCAAAAGTGGGTATATTTAAAATATAAGATTAAAACGTAGTTAAGAAGTCACTTATAAAACACCTAATAGTCAGTTTTGTGATAACGTGTGGTGCAAAGTAAGGCCCACTTTAGTAAGCGTATGGATTCAACTTATAGCTTGACTAATACAGTGGATTCTAGAAGCATCAAGCGGTAAGTATTCTTTCCATATAAACGACACAAAATGTTATAAATAAACTAGCTTTCGCTCGCGACTTCGTCTGTGGAATTAAAAAAAAGTCTTCCAGATTACACTCTACATTTATGCCATTTTTTAAAACTAACAAACATACATTTAAACATTCGCATTTATATTTATTAATCGAATTTAGAACTTACAAAGTAAACGCACATCTTAACCACTATACTTACTGGTTGCTTTTTATTGCAATGTGACATACAACTTAATGACTGACTTAACATTGAAATTGATAAAAAACGCGTTTTAAAACGTGAAGTGTCATTTCAGGTGAATTTAACATTCTACACTTTAAGACACTGTTGAAAAGATGCTAATAAGAAGATAATATTCATCCTATTGCCTTTAAACTACGAATTTTAAACTATTAGTAAGGTCTATAAAACTATTTCCATACTATGCTCAAATAATAACAATCAAATGAGAATTATTTTACCGAACGAACGGCAATTTGAAGCGTTGTTTTGTACGCGTTTTATATACAGAGTGTCTTTTAAATACTGACACAATATAGAGCACGCATTAGTCGTGCACAGATACACGTTTATTTCTCGGAACGCGCATTATCAAAATACGAACTATTAAACATAATAGCGCGTATTGTTAATCTTACTGAGTTTTAATTTTTTTTTAAAACATTTAGCTTAAAACAAAGGGCTGTCCCACCACTGGCTGATAGTCTCGGATAGCTTAAAAATGACGCCACTGTCAGATAACAAAATCCGATATTGCCATCAAATATTTTACAATTTGGTAAGACAGGCCCTAAGTCTCAAAGAAAGGAACTTTGCGATTGTGAATACAAAATTAAAAATTCGATCAACACAACAGTTCAAGCGAATCGACTAACAAAGTCGATAAAGCGAGTTAAAACAAACAAAATTGTCCCTTAAGTTTTGGCAATAAAAGCTATAATAGTAGCGTCTAATTTTACGGATTAGGTATTTAAATCGATTACACTTACTATTGATTGTATTCACTGTGACACAGTTTGATATTAAAACACTTTGTATGAGGAATCTAAGACACGGGTTCATGGCGTTTGCGCAGCCAAGCAACTGATAATAAGCACATCGTTTACTCCATGCAACGGACATTTGGAAAAAATATGCGATTACTGTACAAAAATTTTGTAACAATTTATGTTTAATTACATTAATTACACTCTTATTAGGCTTAATTACATAATAGAATTATTGTAACTGTGAATAATTACATATTAAAATGATTTCTCTATTTGATACAAATATACTTATAGTTTGACTAATTTGATTAATGACACATATAAAGTATCGAATTAAATTTGTATGAAGGTAAATGCCGTACTTTATAGACGGATATCAGAATGACGGAACATGATAGCATATAAAAACAAAATAAAGCAAAGAGTTATTACTTCGTAGTAAATTAAAAAAACATTTACATTTCGGTATCGGACGGGGACCACTTCTTAAGAAAATAGAAAAAGTAATCTCTACAATTTTTAACAAAATAAAATAATTTCAGGACGATTTTTAGACATGCCATCAGACAATCTTGCATTATCAATGAGATATTGTTATCTTAAGTAAATAGTATTGAAATCGGTCATACTTCGTATATCGGTATCACAACTACAGAAGTAACTTAAGGCCGAATACGCACGTCGCGAAGGATTATTCCCAACCGTCACGCCGATCTGTCCCCACGTGGGAACATGTGGGAATAAAAAGTTTCATCTGTCCCTTTACCCGAACCTTTTAGTCCCACCATCACCAATAAGGTGTCAGATGGAACCGTTAAGAAATAAATAGGTTCCAACCTTCCCCTCGTCGCAAAAGTTGGGACGGACGAAACTTTTTATTCTCATCTGTTTCCACGTGGGGACAGAGCAGTGTGATGGTTGGGAATAAGAGTTAGCGGAAGAGGGGGACAACTTAGGTCACTTACGCCTTACCGACTATCCAAATAGAAAGAGGAAAGAATTATAATTTTGTATAATTATAAGTATAATTCTGGCTGATTTTAAGAATTCTGTCACCATTGGAAAGGTAATTTATCTGTGTGTAACATGGGCTATATTTTTTAATTTCATTTGGACAATTTCGCCAGCTACAGCTAGTTTAAAATAAAACAAACAAATGGAAAACGTGAAAACTTTAATTAATCAACAATGTGGTTACAAAAATTTCAAACTATTAATATCACAATAGGGGTGCGTAAATATTTTAACACGTGATTAACATATAATAAATTTAAGCCGACATGGGCGTGTTCTTCTTTGGAACTGTTTGTTCGCTGGCTGCCTTCCTTGTGAAGCTGCGTCGGAAACTCTCCCTGAAGGTGGAAGCCTTCGCGTAAGTCCACTTTCTGTTCCTCTTGGGACCGACCAGGATACCGATGATGATAAGCGACAACCCTATCACGATGATGAAGATCCACGAGAATGGGAAGCGGTCTGAAAAAACAAAGATTTTTTAAGTTGTACAATTTCTTCTGGAGGCGTTATCCTAGTCTCTTTTTCTTTCTCGCCCTTTTCTTATAAGAAACGTTAGGAAAGGGAAGTGGATTTGACATATGCGGACACATAAGACAAAGTTTGAATATAACAATACGAGCTGTTGCCCGCGACTTCGTCCGCGTGGTATTAGAAAACACACGAACAATATGATATGTTGAACCGTTGCAGAATGATCGAGTAAACATTAAAAAACTAAATTAATGAATCCTAAAGGAACCGTAACTATTCCCGGGATAAAAAGTAGCCTATGTGTTCTTCCAGACTATGCTCTAAACCTGTTCAAAGTTTCATGGAGATCTGATCAGCCGTTTAGGCTACAAACGCTAACAAACATCCATCCATCCATCTAAACTTTCGCATTTATAATATTAGTAAGATAGTAAGATATTGTTGTTTCATTGTTGACATTCTACGCCACAAAGTAGTGTGTGTTTCCACTTTATTATATTTATATAGATGATTAAATAAAACTTACAAATAACAATGGTGTTATCTTCATCACCGCCGGCTTCAGGCATTTGTAGGGAGTGGTTGGTCTGCCGCGAGTACTCGAAGGTCATGCCCTGCACGCGCGCGGCCACCGTCCACGGGTGCCGCTCCAGCACTGACGGGTTGGGGATGCGGATCTCACATCTACCCACAGTCAGCAAACTGTCGCTTCTGTAGCCCGAAGGCAGGTTGTCCGTCGTGAAACCTGCAAGAACAATTATTCTTAGAGTGCACACCTTAATCGCACAACTGTTTAGTCGCGCTTTGATTCATTTATACTAACATTATAAAGAGAAAAGATTTGTATTTTTGTAAGTATCGAAATAACTCAAAAACTGGGCTGAATTTAAATATTCTTTCATCATTAGAAAGATAATTAATCTGTGAGTAACATATTTTTTTTTTATTTATAACTTCACGCGGACGAAATCACGAGAAACAGCTAGCGAGCTTACGTGGAGATGTGCTCACTACTCGATTTTTAGTTGTGCAACTAAACAGTTGAATTGGCTGCGAAACAATCGACTATCGCACAACAGTTGTGTGATAGTTTACACAAAAGTTTACGCTCGCTCTTAGATAGAAACCAGTTCTTTACAAGGGCGAAACAATTTTTGAAATAAGTTTAATAGTTAGTAAATTAGTTTAAGTATGTTAAAATCGACTCACCCAGTCCATCAATGCGCACGAATCTGCAGTAGTCTAATGCGCGGTCGTCGTACACACGTCCAGTCACAATCAGGGCGCCTTTATCCATTCTCTGCTCGGCGACCAACGTATCTGAAAATATAATAAGCTTTTATTATTATGCATTTAGTCCTTAACTCTCTCGTAGGGTAGCACTAGGTTTTAGTCAATCCAGTTCTTTAATTCAATTCAATCCATCCATCTCTTCAATTTACAACAATTTACTTAACATATAGTTACGTTCGAAATCCAATTGTACACTAGATGGCGTTAATTTCAATCTTAAGTGAATTTGTATCGTCATTGTCTAGCTAACTACGAGTTCAAAAATCTGTACATATTCCAACTATATTAACCTTGTACAGTCAATGCGAACTGCGCGCTCTGCTCCGGCTGTTGGTGGTCAAGGAAGCCGACATGGCAGCTCCAGCGGCCGCTGTCACTCGCCAGAAGGTTCGAGAAGCGAATCGAACATTCGCCAGCATCGAAGCCAGCTCCCGCGTACTCCATAGCTCCTGACGATTCTCCTGTAAATGTAGAAGTCCCATAAAGAACAAATTAGAGTGTGATTTAGCTGCAAGAAAAGTTAGGTTAGTTTTCATTATTGAGTACTTACCGGGACTAATGGAGAATGTGGTTCCATTGCGCGCTCTGAAGTAGCAGTACCTGATGGGTGACTGCACCGAGCACGACATGGTCATACTCTCACCCTCAAGTCCCGACACCGTCTCACTATCAGCTTCCAATACTGGTTCTGAAAACATGTGTTAAACACTTTAATACAGTAATAACCAACGCTTATATGAGTGAAGTATTTGTTTTGTAATACTTTTGTTTGAAAAATTAACGTCAATAAGTCAGGGTTTTATTTTAATCTTACCAGATCGTACACTGGCAGCGACTTCAGGGTCCCGCATGGCCCAGGGGCAGAGCGCCGCAAGGAAGCCGTAGTAATTATCAGAGTCGGTCTCCATGGCGCAGCGCCACAGACCCAAATCGCTGATCAAAGGATCCGTGATCTGAATACCGCACTCCAAGCGGCGATCTCCAGATACAGAGCTGTAAGTAATAATAAGTTAATCTTAATATTTGTTTTATATTAGTCCAAGTTTAAAAAGTTTACGGTCCAGATCAAAATCATCCTCTTTCTCCTTATCCTACTCCAGTAGCGACGCAACAGGTTTTTGTCCTCCACATAACTCTATACGTCATTTCAGTCATCACTCCCTTTTTGATTATGTCAACTTTCACGCAATCCATCCATCTCTTTCCAAGTCTACCTCTACCGGTGTACCCTTCTACACTCATAACTAAAAATCCAGATGTAAACAATATTATAAAATCGATGTGGTTATACTAAGTCCGGAATGTAAATGTTTATTTTCATTATCGAGTACGTTATGAGACAAATACGTCCTACATAAAGAATCATCTTAATTCAAATATTTCTTAACTTACCTAGCACTGTTACCGTGGAAGGTATACCGCCCTTCACCAACTCCAGGAGTGGCGAGTAGGATACGACCTGCGGGGTCACGGAACTTGCAAGATCGTAGAGTTTCTGCGCTCGCCACAGAACACGTGAGTGTTACTGTTGGCTTGTTGGTGGCCACTGATGTTGATACCGCAGGCTTAGGATCTGAAGACATAAGTTTGCTCTTAGTAAACGAGCCTACAAAATCTTTTACGAATTATCTATTCGTTAAATGTTTGACAAATCATCTGTCTCAACATCCGCTGATCCCCATTGTATTCTTAAAAAATAAAGCACAATTATTCTTTAAGAACTAAGATAATATACGAGCATTTAGGAGCTGGAATAAAAAATAAAAATGACTTCTTTTTCATAATGCATTGCTAAGTGGTAGCTACCTTTACTGAAATGTAACATTTAAACGTATAATGGTCGTAAATTGACAACCTTCAGATAATTAGAATTATCATATGAAATATAATTTAATCTTATCGCTATACAGGTCAATTGACTAAATAACTAAATAGTGATTAATAACTTATTTGAACAATTGAAATATCGGGAAAAGCCCAATCGTGGTAAGAATCCTGTTTGTCACAAACTTTAAGGTTGTCATCGTTTTTACTTGCTCTGGATAATTTAAACACCTCTTATTAATTTCCAATCACACTAATATTATGAATGCGAAAGTTTAGATGGATGGATGGATGTTTGTTAGAGTTTGTATCCTAAACGGATGAACGGATTTCGATGAAACTTGGTATGGATGTAGAGTATAGTCTGGAAGAACACATAGGCTACTTACAATTCTTTTTTTTTAAGTCCACGCGGACGGAGTCGCAGGCGAAAGCTAGTATATTATAATAAGCTAACAAATGAATTCAAATTACATTGGCAACTTAAGATTACCTGCTCTCCTAATAGACACGTGAACATCGTATTCGTCAGTTAGAACTCGTCCCTGCAGACCAATGTGCATCTTCCAGTTACCAGCATGTTCGTTGGACACTCTTGACAATGTTACATTACATCTGCCGAAGCCATCGAACACTGTGTTGTGGCTGGCATCTACGAGTCTGCAGTAGACTGTGCCTTCAGGTCCCATTAACTGGCTCACTGGCCTATCCAGAGTCCATGTGAAGTGCGTTTGCAACGATGGATCGCTGTGACCTAGTTAGAATTAATAAATCAAACAAATCCAACAACCTTTAGTCCCATAAGAAGAAATAGTTTAATGCAATAGAAACTATCATTTTCGGAGCAAGTCAAACTTATTGTCTTGAAGTTAAGGAGTAAGTTTAACTTCTAGAGGAACCGAATATACGAGTATCATATATCTTACTAATATTATAAATGCGAAAGTTTAGATGGATGGAAGGATGTTTGTTAGCATTTGTAGCCTAAACGGCTAAACGGATCTCCGAGAAATTTGGCACAGATATAAAACAAAGTCTGGAGTACACATGGGATAAGGCAAATCCCCGAGAAATGTCCGGTTTCCGAGGGATACGTAGCTTTTTGTTATTTATATAGTTCGTATGTTTTCTAATACCACGCGGACGAAGTCGCGGGCAACAGCTAGTATTATATGAAAATATGTTGAAAATATTTATGTAATTTGAATCATGCTGATTGCGTTTAAGCCAAAGCTGAACGATTGAAATGTATGTATAAAATGTTCTATGGCGCATTGAGACACATTAAGCGTAGGTTTTCATGGGTTAGATCTATGCCACTTAAAAATTATATTAGTATCCTTAAATTATTATTGAAACGGAACAGTTACCGTAAACAGTGACGCGAGCCCATGCCTTATAAATAGTTTTTACTCCATACGATATCTTCCAGAAGCCGGAATCATTAGTTGTGGCATTTCTTACAATGAAACCGCAAGTGTCAACATATCTTGCATCTCTTTCTACATCAACACGTTCTTCATCACGACCATCTACCAGCTTACACGTAGCATGGAAAGAAGTAGCATCTTCTAGACGTATATAAATATCTTTACCTTCCATAATCGTTATCTCACTTGGTAAAGCATTTACTATTTCTGTAATTCAAAAATGTTTCTTTATCAAACATCGAATAGTTTTAATCGTAAATTTTACATATATTGATTTTGTAATTATCAAGACGTTATCCTTATCTCAGACGTGACCCGATACACGTAAATTAAAGATTATGTTAATGCATTGAATCCAGTTTCAAATGATATCTACCTTCTATGACGATTGTAAACGGCAATCTTCTTTCTACAACCTCTGTGCTGAATCGTGTAGCTCGTGAGACTAGCATCCAATCTCCCACCATGTCTTCAGATACTATATGGACTTTTACTCCACAAGCTACATTATAATCAGTAATTGCTTCTATTCCATATAACTGGAGATGTTCTATATCATGGCGTTCTCCTCCCGGTGTTATAATGTAACATTCGTTGCTATTCAAAAAATCGTATTCAGGAATTTTTACTTTATGCGTTTCACCGATTTTAGTTACAAAATATCCAGGATCAATGTTTATGATATCTTCTATTTTCTTTGTCGTAGTATCTAAAATGCGTTCAGTCGTGTATGCTTTTTCGGTTGTTTCTTTTGGTAATTCTGCAATCGTTGTATCAAAGTTTTCTTTTTGTGTTGAATCTTTCGAAGTTTCTTCCACTGACTTTGTTGTGTCTGTATTTGGTATTTCACTTGTAGGTTCTGTTTGTGGAAAAATTCAATTTGAATACAAAAGACATTTGATAAGTTGTTTTAAAATGTTCGTACGAAATTTTGTAACATAAATACAGTAGCGAATTACTACTAAGTATATCTGAGTTTTTATAGAGTTGTTGATTTAGCTGAGTGAAACACTTGCATAGCGTTAACAAAGCATAACATATAAGAGCATATGAACAATAATTCTTTGTCGTAACACTTAATGAATAAGATGCATTGATTACCATAACAATAACCATAGTAGACAATACTTGTAAATGGTGATTTATGAGTATGGATAGCAAAATAAGATGTCACAACGGTTATAGTGGGAAAGAATTAACGTGACAAGTTTTGAACTACCCGATTGCTTCATTTAAATTACGCGAAAAATACACGTGAAACATTTGCAGTAATTGTTAGTAACTACGCGATTTTTGTTTCAGTTATTTGTTATTACGCATTTGCTCGTTGTCAGTAATACCTTCTAAGAAGATAGTAAACGGTAAACGTCTTTCAACAACTTCAGCACTTCTTGTGCCTCGTGAAATTAAAGTCCATCGTCCGAGCATTTCTTCTGTTGATACATATATTTTAATACCACATGCTACTGTAATATAGTTTATAATTTCCACATCAGATATATGCATATCTTCAAAATCGTATTGTGTTCCATCTGGTTTTACTAAATAACATTTCTCATTGTTCAAAAAATCGTCTTCCGGGATCATTAGTGTGTGTGTTTCTCCAAGTTTTGTTCTAATATATACATGTTCTATATCTACAGCGGTGACGTCATCCTTTGCTGTTGTATCATGGACTGCTTCAGTTACTTGTGCGATTGTTGTTTCATATAATTCCCCAGTTGAAAGTGTTGTTAGAATTTCTTTTGAAGATTCATCAGTCGTTATGTTATCTGTGTTAGCTGTATCAGTTGTACCTTCTGTTACTCGAAAAAAAATCATAGTTAATGAAATTAAAAGAAAAAATTGTTAAGTTTTTCTATCTACGAAATAAGATCGTGAACTGATTTCTTAAAACTGATTTTTCTAGTTATGGTGAATTGCTACTCTTAACTATTAAAAGTTTTTACATTGTATTGTTCTATTTTTTTCCGAATCTACAATTAACGTCTGAGTAAAAAAAAAATCAATAACATTGTGATTTATTGCATTTTATGTGCTTCGTAATTGGAACTTGTGATAAGCAGGGATGATTTTATGTTGGTTTAAAACGAAGAATGTAATGGCTAAAAATCTACGACTGAGCAAACAACACAAGATTTGCTAATGAATGACAGTTTTTGATGAAACGGGAGTGATTTTTGATGAATAGAATCAGTTATACGATAAAAGTTGCTGCCATTGTACTTAATGCTTTTTCGTATATGGATTTTGCTGTTGAAAGAAGCGGTTATCTATAACAATATTCGAGATAAGACTTTCATCGATTTTTATCAAACTTAAAAACATTTTGAGGAGATTGAAAATCACTTCCGAACCTGTAGAGACGACTGTCACTTGGTAAGATTCGGTGCGAGAGCTGCCCGCATCCGACACAGATCGGAGTACCCAAAGTCCATTGTCATTACTGTCAAGGTTTTTAACTGTAACTTGACATTTAACAAAGTCGGTGTCATCTAACAGTTGGTATTTGTCGTTGGAATGATTTAGAGGCTTGAATTCGATTTCATTGCCATTAGGAGTGGTCAGGTAACATCCGACTACAATGTCATTTAAGGTCAAAATCGATGTTTGGAGGTTCTCACCCGCATTAAGGGTTACTTGCCTCGCCCCGCTTGCGTTTGCGGTGAAAGTGAAACCTGAAACAAATGAAAATAGAATATACTTGCAACAGTGGGTAGTGCCCGCTTTAACATCTTAGTACGAATGCGCCGGTACGCCGGTGTAATACCACGACCACACAGAAGACAGACGTGAAATGGAAGCAATTCCGTGTTTCGTCTGACGAGTGTGTTGCCGGAGGCCTAATTTAAGTCCCTTTCTCTTTACCACCCTTTTCTTATAAGGAGAGGATGGTAACGGAAAGTGGATTTGACGGTAGAGGAGATGCATAGGAAGGGGAAATATTTTCTTTATAAGCGTCTCCTCCTCCGTCGGATAGGGTAGGCAACGCATCTGCAATTGCAAATTTATGGGCAGCGGTCGCTTCGCCATTTTGGGGGATTCAGGTGGCAGCTTGCTCGTTTGCCACCTTATGTTATAAAAAAAAACACTACTACTATTAGGCATAGGAGTGAGTATGTAGTCAAAGGGGAAGCCAGTAGTAAAATGATTTGTGTGTCTTGAAGAGAATGCTTGAATAAAATCAAGTCAATTTTGAGTTATCTCCACAAGTAGGAATTATATGAACATTAGTATTTTAAATTAATGTACATATTTAAAACTAGCTGTTCCCATGCGACTTCATCTGCATAAAATTATAAAATCATTTTATTTTTCACATTTGTCAAATTATCAATTGCAAATGCCAAAATGATAACATGATGTCAAACCATGGCAACCTTGTTTCCTTGATGTTGGCAGCAACTTATGGTCTCTTTTCCATATTAGGGTTTGTATCCAAAATATTTACCCCTAAGTTTAACAGCGTGAAAATATATAGCCTAAAGCGTGACGTAGTGTAGAGCTTTTTATTAAAAGAAGAGTTATTCGAAAATATACTGTGATTGCTGACTTCTTAGGCAAAGTGTGTGTTTACGCTTTATTATAATAGTATAGATGTTTGCCTCTCTATAAGTCCTGCCCTCCTCCTACTTTTACCGACCCATGCGAATGCTTTTTACTCTCATTCTTATGATTTTTAAATCTCGTTCTTCAATTTCAATTAGTTTTGTTCTTTGTTTTTCATTAATAGATTGTCACAGGCATCTATCAATCAGCAATTATGAACGTAATACATAATTGTTACAAGAATATCTTAAGTAAACAGTGTATTGCTTAATGTTGGTATTTCTTCCGCATATAGAATAGAAGTATCTAATCGTAGTATTGCGAAACATACACGTTAAACATTTTATGCGACAATTAAAAAAAATCAATGCAATATATTTTAATGCACATTTATCTCTACTATATTATTTAATAACAGTATTTTTCAAAGATACTTTTTTTATAAAATATAAGGTGGCAAACGAACAAGCGGCTACCTGAATCCACCGAAATGGAAAGCGACCGCTGCCCATAAACATCCGCAATTACAGATGCGTTGCCTACCCTTAATTGACGGAGGAGGAGACGCACATAAAGAGGACATTATCTTATGCGTCTCCTCTACCGTCAAATCCACTTTTCCTTCTCATCCTTCCCCTTAAGAAAAGGGTGGAAAGGGAAAGGGACTAAAATTATGCCTCCGGCACCACACTCATCAGGCGAAACGCGAAATTACTTCGACATGACGCCTGTTTTCTGTGTGGTCGTGGTATTACACCGGGCGAGCCGACCCGTTCGTGCGAAGATATTAAAGCGGACTCTACCACTTTAACTTCAAATATTAATTCTATTTATCCTCTATTAACTGTTCAAAAATACTTCAAAAAATTTAACCGTAATTTATGATAACTGTTTTCAGTGCAAGTGCTAGAAAGGCTAAAGGAAAATGGATTAAGGAAAATGGTTTGAGTTTTAAAACGATACGGTCAGTCCCAATTTTTTAAATTATCCTTATTATAAGTTGTAATGCAAAACAAACTACACTTGCTATCTCTGTTATTTCTAGGGTAATTGAAAGGGATGGACATAAAATTGGCAGTTCACCGTAACATTGACAATATCGTTTTAATAATATAAAGTGACAATAAGGTTATGTTGATTGTAAAATGAATTTATTTTATGTACACTTGTAATGAAATAATGATTACCTCCGTTATGTAAAGGTAATAAAAAATTATAGACAACGGTAATGTTATTGTCACGTCCGAAAATCGGAACGTAATTACATTCCGGTTTGCAATATGTCGTTTACACCTGTCAAACACTGCTAAAACTTCCGATAATCTTTGATCTTTTGTGTTCAGGTCCTTTCTTAACATTTAACATGATGGTGGATTTATTGCACTTGACACTTTAAATTTAATATTAAAATCTAACCTAACCTAATTAAGTTTCACCATAAACGCTAAGTTTAATATTAAAATAAAAATCTTTTTAACTCGAAATACGTAATCAATATGTACAATATTGGCTTTAATATTTACAAAACAGTTCACGTTTTATGCTATCGTTAAAACAATTTGGATGGAAGGTAAACAAAGTTGCATATATTTAAGTATAAAAGAGGTTTCGATAACAAAAACGTAGCACTAATAACCTTGAATAAGTAAATAAGTATTGTACATACCTGTAATTAAGAGAACGCACAAAGCCGTCTTTCCTGACGACCGCATGGTGGCACTGACCAACCGGCACTACTTACGCTTCGAGTTTTCAAACAAACGATAATTCAACAATGTGGTAGCGCGCCAGCATTTATATCCTTATAATTAATCATAGCAAGATCTCATCCAAATCCAACTATCTAATCTAGCGATATCGAGAATTTACAGTGTTGCCATATATTCAACTTGAATTACCATATTTTTAAAAATAACATTAATCGACAATAAATATGGGTTCATTATTCTTTTTATTTTAAATAGGAGGAAAATAGCAATCTATTTGCTACTATGTTTCGAGACCACGCTAAACATCCGCTAGTAACAGTAAAAATTACAAATGAACTACGAGCAGCATAATTAAAAACATCTATTCATGATCTTCCCCTGACGATCTATGCTAGGTCTAGCGGCAGGCAGCACCTTTAAAATAATCTGATGTAGTTTTCAAATCTATTTTACATTTTTTGACCTCTCCTGGCGACACCCTTCTTTTATTCAAGCGGGTATTCTGTAAGGTTTTAGTGGATTTCATTTATAAATACATATCTCGATGCTTAGCTATATGAAATATACGAAAAACCGGTGTGTTCTCGAAACTTCCCCTTATTAAGTTTAATTTACTACGTTCTTTACAAGGAAACAAAAAGCGGGTTTAGTTAATTTAGGTAAACAGGTCTTCAATAAGGTCGGACTTCTATCGAAACATTGGTACAAATAAGGGACAAACATACATTTTTCATTAAATTGAAATTCAATGAAAGCACACGGTTACATTAACTAGTTTAAAATGTGTTCTAATACACTTATTAACTATAGTTTATTTTCTAAAGATTAATTAAATATATTTTCCCATAAAATTAGGTGTTTTTTGGAACATGGCTACATTATTTTCTCATGAAACGCAGAAACGCATTTGTACCGTCGCGTCGCAAGAACAATAGAACAATTGTGATAACAAATATTTGGAATATCTGATACAATTGCTGTAATTCTGAAATAAAGCATATGGTATTATATCATATGCAGAATATTATGTATTGTCTGATTTAAATTCCCTCATACTTTTCTATCTTTCATACCAGATTTTCGTCACTTTATGAGGTACCTTCAAGAGAATGTTGAATAGACTAAATATTAAAATAGTTCGTTTAGCACCTAGATTACATCAACACTAGAAAATCGTTTGGAATTATTGATATCTCCAAGCTATTTGTTCTCAATAAAAATATACTTATTTAACTTATTATCGCTGTAAATTTGCCAATGTTAAAATTACTTATAAATCCAGCTGTTGCCCACCGTCTGCGCGAAAATCTTCTACATCTCTGCCAAATTTCACCGAGATCCATTGAGTCGTTATGCAGATACCGATTAACAAACATCCATCCTTCCGTCCATCTAAACTTTCTCAATTTTGTTAATTATTAGTAAATAGTTACATGCGCCTTGTAAAATAAACACAGCAAGATTTTTTATTCGTTTATCTTGGGACCGATGTACACTATGTGACTATCTTTTGTGATAGAGAAAGCAATTTTTATAAGTTATTGTTTTTTTGACCGGCTTCTCAAAAGAAGGTAGGTACTCAATTCGTCTGTATGTTTTTTAGATTTTTACGAAGTGAAGTTTTTCTTTATGCAAGCCTGTTGCCTTTTTTCTTCACTAGATTGCGCTATACGTACAGGATGCAAAAGATTTTACCATTTATAACCAAGATATATAAAAAATAAATATTGGTAGTTTTAAATGGATCTAGAGTCCTTATACCTTAGTATAAGCCTATATATTTAGTTTCATGTTACATAAAACATGCTGTTTAACATACGGTAAAACCTATGTAAGGCTGACTTGTACGTTCAGACCTCCCAAGTTCAAATAGGGTGACCACATTGTCTATTCTATCTAAAACTATGAAAATCTTCAATTATAATTAAAAAGATAACGTTTTTTAAATCTATTCCAACTGTTCTGTGTAGATAGAGCAAGATTTCAACGGTGCCCTTTTTTAAGCACTTTGGTGTCACGTTAAAAGGTTTATGTGAGACTGATTCGCAGAGCTATTTTTAAACAATTTAAATGATTGATACTATAGTGATAACTTAAAAACTCTGAACCACACTTCTCGCCAGGATTGCGCGAAATAATCCAATACGACTAATGACATTGACAGCTGTCAGTTAGGGACGTGACGTTTATACCGATAATCCAGTGTTGCGCCAATTCTACAGCGCGGTACTAATTTTCTTCATAACACTATATACCTCTGTACTGCGCCCTGGGCGGTCGCCCAACCACGCCCTACCCTAACGCCGGCCCTGGATGCTATATTTTCATTAGACCGTTGCCAATATCTGTTGGCATTGCCGTACTTCGATAGTACTTTCGCAACATCCCTGTAGCAACCTCGTTGGACCAACACCAGTATTTATTCTTGTATATCGAACAAGGCTGTTACTAATCAATCTTGCCAAAGAAAGTTTTATTATAACTCTCCTTTAATTATTAGTTTTAAAAATTGGTGTTAGGTTGTAGGATAACTATTTTTTCCTAACACGTGGTTATTGTAGTGTCCAATTTGTGCGTCCGAATGTGCATTACGGCTCGACGCGCTTGTTCGTTCGTCCGTTCAGGTAGAAAACTATTTGCCCAGAGGTCCATATGTCTGTACTTATCACTCTTTTTACATAAACTTATTAGTTAAGTATTTAAATGTAGAGAATAAAGCATTAAAATAGTCTTTTATTACTTACTTTCTAGATTACGGACAGTAAAAAAACAAAATATTATTGTAAAGACAGTTAATATTGTAAATAATTATAAGACTCGTCTCAGAGGTTAAAAAATACTTCAGAAATGTGCTAGATATTGCAGCTGCCCACCCCTACCCTGTTGATGCCCATGGGTAGACACAAAAAATTCTTAAGTTTTGTTTTCAATTTGTACAACGAAAATAATGTAGATTTTTCATTAACAAATTAAGAGTAAGAATGTTTCGGAAATCGACTTTTAGACATTATTTGAAAAACGTCAATTATTCTTTGAAATTAGTTAAAAATCATTTATTGTTAAATTATCTCTTGTTTTAATCGCCTTTTAAACAATTAAGTTGAAGATAAGCACTTATTAGTCAGTCATTTGATTTTTTATTTCACTTGATAACTGGCAATCGCACAAGAAGCATTTGCGACTTGCGACGCCGCAATATCCTTTCGCCTTTTCTCTCGACTTAAAAGAAATGTGTGTAAACGACCGTGGCATACACAATATGTATGAGAAACGAATTTACAACGATGTAACTACATTTTAAAGTAATGTAATTTAAACCTTATTCAATTACAATAATGGCGATATTACAAAATTGTTGTTAGGGACATTAAGTTGTTTTAATCTGTGGTGACTCGACCGGCGCACGGCTGCACGGCGACCATGCCTGTGCCTTTGCTGCCCTCGCGTCATCAGTTACTCACAGAAACGCGTGGCGGGAGCGCGCTTTTTTGACATAAACATTGTTCAAAGTAATGAACTATTAATAGTTAAGCCACTTATTAATCAGACGGTGCAACGTTCCAAATATCTGTGTTAACTTGGTCGTGTTAAAATCTAGTGTGTGGACGTTTAAAAATTATTTACTAAGGATATCGTTTATTGGAACGTGAGTAAATCGATTTTTTCCCGCTTGTTGATTTCTCTACAACAATTCAAAATGTATTCAATATTTATTATCCATTTATAAATAATAATTTTAGTAATCGTTGCAAGTTTTATGAGGAATCATGATTCGTCCATAATTCCGTTATATTCGCACGTTTGAACTCGTTTGACTACTATAAGAATAATCATGAATTCTCATGTCCTAGAAATGCTAGTCTTTATAATAAATATGCTAAACTCCAATGCAATAAGTCTTAAATAATAATTTTAGTCGTTAATTTGAATATTTATCCAACTAACCCGCTTACAAGGAAACAATAATTGGTATGTTTAGAAATAAACAAACGGGTCATCTTATTATGACTAGTCGAGTTTCAACTTAGTATAAATATTTATTAGTTGCTGATAAGTACTGCCGACGTTGATTCAATGGACCGCACTCACAATTCTTAATCAACAGGATATTACAGAGAATGTAAATAAGTTTTTCGAATTAACAATTGAAAACAAAATATAACTGAGTCTTTGTTACGGTATGTATTAACTTGTAGTTGAGTGCATCCTCCAAGTACTATAGAGTTTGGGTTTCTATACTACATAATTATGTTAATATATTACTTCTCTATGAAATTTTCAAGAGACTTTCATTTGTTCTTATAAATTCATTACAATTATTAAAATGCAATGAAACACATTTTGAGTACTACCTACTCCTTTTGTGTCACATTTACGAGATACAAACCCAGGACTAAAACCACCTAGTTAAACTAACCTAAAGTTCTAAGACGCCACTCTTGTATCCTATAGAAATAATGGGTGCTTTTATTCTATACTAGCTTTCGTCGGCGACTCCGTACACGTAGATTTAAAAAAAAAAACCAAGTACCCTATGTGTTCTTCCAGAATATCCTCTACGTCTATACCAAATTTCATAGAAATCCGTTCAGCCGTTTAGTCTACAAACTCTAACAAACATCCATCCATCTAAACTTTCGCATTTATAATATTAGTATGATTTGTTATGCCAGTTTGATTTTTTGTTAAATGGAAACTTTAGAACATTACTTTAGTATAAAAAACGTAGAGACGTTAAACGGTTCAGTGTATTGCTCTCACTTGTCTGTTAATTTGTAAGTCATGCATAACGGCTAACTTAAACTATATGAAACGAATAAATGAAACTATTAGTCATAAAATTCTATTACTTGCAACATTGGAAAGTAACGGCTTTGTAATGCCACGAAAAAGTTCGTTAGAAGGTGAGATCGAGTAATCGATATGTTGCAGTTAATTTGTTAAAACCGTCATAATTAAAAATGACTTGCTTTTATTATGAGTGACAAAATTAAGCAATCGTTTTTCACTTGTCCCTTTTTGGTCGGTGATTACTGGAAAGAGTTGGCATGTTTTGTTTTTAATCTGTTGATATCTATTTTATACATAATAGCTTTTGCCCGCGATTCCGTCCGCGTGAATTTTAAAAATAATAATAAAGAAATATTAAATATAGCCTATGTTACTCACAGATAAATAACCTTTCTAATGGTGAAAGAGTTTTTAAAATCTACCCAGTAGTTTTTAAGCCTATTCATTACAATCAAACAAACATTTTTCCTTTTTATAATATTTTAATAGTTACATTGGAATATTACCATATCTATTATGTATTGTGATCATCCAAGGTCATTCAAGGTAACTTGTTTATTATTTCTATCACATTTTAATACTACCTACTTCATGTACCACTGCATGTACTCATAGCTTTACAAGCGGTTCGTTTTTTTCGTGCAAGTTCGTCGGCCGTTTATTGTGAGTATTCAATGATTTGAGTCATCGCCACGTAGTGTTATAGTTGAAGTCATGATATAAAAAGATACATCTTTAAACTTGTTTTTATATTATAAGGTGGCAAACGAGCGAACGGTCACAATTCTCCGATAAAGCGAAGAGATTGCTGCCCATATACCCGCATTTGCCGATGTGTTGCCTACCCTTAATGAACGGAGAAAGAGACGCTCACAAAGTAGATGTTTCCCCTTCCTATGCGTCTTCACCGTCAAATCCCTTTCGTGTAAGAAAATGGTGGGAAAGGAAAGGGACTAAAATTTGGCCCTCGTTATCACATTCATCAGACGAAATGCGAAATTGCTCCCATTTCACGCCTGTTTTCTGTGGTCGTGGTATCACCGGGCGAGCCGGCTTATTCGTGCGAAGATGTAAGCGGGCTCTACCATTCTTGTTTCTTAATCTTTGTAATGTACATTGTTTTAGATGCAGTCATTATCTGACCGCTGTATCATGATTCAATCGATTTCACAATTGTGCAACATCGAGAACGGATTATATAAATCTGTTACGTATTAAATTGGGCCAACGGTTGTCTGCTTTAAAGGTCGTCTTTACCACGTTTAGATATTTATTGTAAGTAGGACACAGTATTGTACACAATCTCCTTAAGGCCATCTTTTGTCAGGCTTGAGACTGATCTAAATAAGTTGTATGAAAAATATGTTTTATTTGGAAAATAAATGAGCCAAGGACTTTGATCACTGAATTGGTGTATTACAGCTGTCTGTATCATGTCATGGGCGTCGCCAGTTTCCCCTAAACTACCATTAATAATGACTTAAGGCCGGTTTCCCAGCTATATTTAACCATTCTTCAGTGCTTTTGGTTCGATAACTTCATAAAATGCGTTTCCGAAGTACTTATCTTGAGTTTTACTCCGTTGAAACTTAAGTCAACCTTACACAAATGAATCAATAGGTAATCTGTATTAATATAAAAAGGAAAGATTTATAATTTTGTTTGTATTAAAATAGAAATAACTCAAAATCTACTAGGCTGATCTTAAAAATTTTATCAGTTAGAAAGGTAATTTATCTGTAAGTAACATAGGCTTTAATATTTATTTTTACGGACGAAGTCGCGAGCAACAGCTAGTTATAAAATAAATGGAATCTTCAGAAATCCAGCTTTATTAGTTTTAATATCAACAAGTACTTAGACCTGTGGCTTTTTATAAACTATGCTATAGTATGGTTGAAAACACAATAGCGACTTCTTTTCAAAGGTGACAAAATACAAACATATCTCGCATTGTTAGTAAGCCATTAACAATTATTTTACGGCAAACGATAATCCTGTTTGAACATTGTTACGTTATGTTAGCATTTGTTAAAGCAAGTATTTAGGGAATTTAGAAAAACTATAAAACTACGTCGTAGTTTTTGACTCCAAAAATCATACAAAAAAACAAGCACAACCTTTCGGATAAAAAAGAATCAACAAAATCGGTCTACGAGCAGCGGAGTTATGCCGTAACACACATTAAAAACAACATACAGACGAATTGAGTACCTCCTTTTGGGAAGTCGGTCAAAAATCGTTAAAGCGAAGCGTCAATCGACGAGCGTTTCAGTCTTTTTTTTTTTTTTTTTTT